AAATAAGCATTAAAAATTACAAAAAAAAAAAATTGTATAAGTTAAATACACACATAGATTGTGCTGGAAGTATTTTCATGGGGTTAATTGTGAATTGCAGTGCCTGACTATTGTGACCACAGCTTACAGGGCATTTTGTTTATTTCTGGATCCTAGTAATAGTCTATATAATTAAGATCGTTGGATGCAGGATATTTAGTTGAAGGTTATAGCAGTACGTGCTAATACCCACACTACTGGGGCTGTAGTAGTTTTTTGTTTCTTGTTTTTTGTTTTTTTAAAAGTAGATGTCCTTCCCAGTGTGGGCCTTGAACTCACTACTCTGAGATCAAGAGTCACATGCTGTACCCCCTGAACCAAGCAGGTGCCCTGGGACTGAGTATTCTTAAGAATGACATAACTAATTGTGTTAAGGAATGGATTTTGGTGTTTTCAGCTTAATTATACCTTCTTTTGACCCAGAACTTGGTAAAGAAGTAGGGTGGATACCCAGAGTAAGCCTTAGCTATAGAGATGAGAGGTGTTAATGACTTGCAAGCAGAAGATGTTTCTGTGCTTATCTTTCTTTCCCACGTGGCACATAGCTCCACCAGCAGAGACCTCGTACTAACCACCCCCTGTACCTCTATTCTGGAAGCACTGTGGGACCAAGGTTAAGTGTGCCTTTCGCCTGCTGGGGTTTTTTTTTTTCCCCAGATTGTCAGTTGCAGTAACCTACAATTCTTCCCTTTTCAGGGGGCCAGTGTTGGGCGGGGGGGGCGGGTGGCGATATTTAGGATTTGAGGCAGTTGCCATAAAACCTAAACTCATTCCAGTGTTGAGGAGTGTCACTGACTCACCATGGCATACACAACATGTCACTTTGATTAGAGCACACTGCTCCCGAACCACACCATGGCTCCTAGATACTGTGTGTCAGAGTTTTCAGATAAACATGAGTCACTTTGGATATCAGCTTCTACAAATAATTTTGTTAATACCACCGCTAAATTAACACTGTCCCATCATGAAACATTCAGTTTTCAATGGCCCCCACATTTTCTACTTCTCTGTATTAGAGCGGCAGACTCATAGTAGTGGTTTTGGTCACGTCGAACCTGCTTTGAACTTTGCCTCTGCTACTTAACTGAGTTCTTTAGACAAATTAACATCCTCTTAATTTCCTTTTTTATAAAGTAGAAGTCATGGTGCGTACCTACCTCAGGACTTTGCATTAAATGAAATAAAGTGCAAAACGTGAAGGCATAGAGGTTCAATAAATGCTGCATGTTGGGACAGGGGAGAAAAAGATAGTTATCACCCCCAAACTTACCTTATTTCCTCATGCCATCTTAATAAATAAATTTTTGTTATTAGCTAACTGTACTGCTTTTCTTTTCAAATGGTAAAATCCTGAAGTGAAGAGTCAAAGCTTTCACATTATTATGAGTGGGAGAAGGCAAACGTGAAAAAGGTGAAAACTCTAAAACCTGGTAGAAAAACACTATCTTCAGTTTGATCACCACAACAGAGCAACTTCCATAAATTGTTTTGGGTGTTTATTGGAACTTCAAGGTCCATTGAGCTTGAGGTCCATTGATTAATATTTAAGTATCTTCAGTTAATTAACCAGGACAGTCAGCTAGAGAAGGGACAGGATGTTCCAGGAGATGGGACAGCACTGAAAACGCATTATACATTATGTATCATCTTTTAAAAAGTAATAATACCGTGTATTTTTGTCTATATATTACATATGACTATGTGAGCGTGGAAAATACTTGAAAGGAGCCAGAGCAGGTCATAATTTTGCTTACTTGGCAATGTATTATAATATGGAGGTGGGGATAAGTAATCTAACGGTGGTACATTTATGTAAAGTTAGATACATGCATGTATGTGTAAACATTCTTTTTATAAACCATTTAAAAGAAAGGATGCTTTAAAGAGATAGATTCCCTTTTATGCTGTATTTCTAATCATGTAAGCAGTGGTCTTTAGATTTTGTTTTTGTTTTTTTGTTTTTGTTTTTGTTTTTGTTTTTGTTTTGTTTTGTTTTTAGGAGGCAACCCTCTTTAGCTGAATCTTACCTGAAGAGCTCAGGAGCTGAGAGGCTTTAAGAGAGGTTGAAGGGCACAGTTCTGCCTGCTGGTGCTCATCTTGAATCTTTTGCGGTGACATTCTGAGGCATGTCGCTGGAACCCTGGAATCCAGGACATTGGGTGTGAAACTCTTCATCTGTGGGATAGAAATCCTCAAGAGATGAGTTCTCTCTAAGAAGTCCTTGCAGTAAGAATTATTGTGAGTGAGATTCACAAACTTGTTCTGAAGACAGCTAGCTCCCAGGGTTTTCAGCCGTGTCAGATGTGTGTATGACTCTCATGCACAGGAGCAAGTGGCTGTTAAAAAAAGAGAAAGCATCCATCCTCAGTCTGGCCCGTACTTTACAAAATAGGAGTCTATGCACACGTTTTGAGAAGTCCTCTCAGTTTTTATTTTATTTTTTTGAGCCCTCTAAGCCATGACAGCTGTATCACTGTTAAAGCTATTTAATATTTTAACTGGCTGTTGTTTAGCATTACAGATGACTTGAGGAAAAAGAAACAAGAAGTCAGTGGAAATACATTACTTGTGTTTACAGTCCCTCTGTTTTTTGTTGTATGAAAGCAGCTGGTTTGCAATTTATATGGTAAAGGGTTTTTCTTAAGCAGTTAATTTTTAGTTAATAGTGAGCTTTCATAAGAAAAATAATCTCAAATGCTGAGTATTTGTCAGATTGTTATTAATAGGAGCGGTAGTAATATCACATTGTCTTTTTTCACACATTGAGGAGGGTTTCCTGGTGACAGCTGGAGTGTGGGGGAGGGGGAGTCACTTTCAATCAGCCAGCTGCTCTGTGCAACATCATGATGGCAATATTTCAAAGCCTGTGGGATAATTTTGGCTGTATTCAGAAAAGAAAATGTGTCAAATTTCTGGGAAGCGATAGATAGTGTACAAGAGCCATATAAGAGCCCTTTGGGATCTAGATGATAGTCAACGAACAATGGTGTGCATTCAGGTTTGTGTGTTGGTGTTATTTTACCATCTAGTTTCTTGGACATTGTTACATGCACATCATAATTATAAAGCAATAAAGTCTAGTCCCATGGGGGGAAAGGCTCATTACTTTATGGAGAGGAAGGGAGATTGGAAAACAAACTTTGGGAGTGTGCTACGTGCTTTCACATAATATGCTATCTCATTTATTCTTCACAATGACTCCAGTAAGTAAGTGGAATTTTTCTCATCTATGGATAAAGAAGCAGACGCTCAGCAGGATTGATTATATGATTTGCCCAAGGCCACACACTAGTAAACAGTGGCATCCATATTTGACCCCAAATCTGGCTTCAGCTCCAGGAATGTTCTCATTATACCAACAGCTGTTTCTGCATGGTGTAAACTTGCTTATGCATTTTTAATCCAAAGTCACAGTATCAGGATAGTTATGAATGAAATTTATATACATATTACAATGACTTCAACTTTATATAAATAATATATAGGGGTGTGTGTACGTGCTTGTGTCAGTCAATGTGTGATGGCAGCTCCTCCTAATTTTAGATTTTTTTTTTCCTTGATGGAGTCTCTTGGGCAACACTGAAAGAAACTTTGCTACATTTTTTTTATGTTACAGATACCAGCAATTCACAGTCATGGTTGTAATGAGTCAGTTTGATTCCAACTTTGAGCAAATGTAGGAATAAATACTGTGCCTACTGCCCATGTAGTCTCTTCCTTCGTACCAAAGTATTCAAGATTTCCTTGTTTCTTTCAAGGTATGTTAATTTTGTATCAAAGAGGGACTTTTTGGCTTTCCAGATTTTTAGCTTGTAGCTATTATGTCTGCCAAGTGATGACTTAAATCCTGTGTGTGTGTGTGTGTGTGTGTGTGTGTGTGTGTGAGAGAGAGAGAGAGAGAGAGAGAGAGAGAGAGAGAGATGACTCTCCTGCTTTTGATGATGAGTTTCATGGATCATTTCATCTCCCTCCCCATTGCCCACGGGATAGTGCCTGCCCAGTATTTTCTTTCTTTCCTTCCCCCACACCCCATACAAATCCTTAAAACTTATTTTTGCTCTTTTCTAAACATTCTGTGCACATTTATATGCATTCATATTTTCATTCTTTATCGCACTGTAGTGTCACTGTTTGTATGTCTGCTCTCTAGACTGGTTGCCTGAAAGGACACTAATTCTCAGATATTTATTAAACGATACAGACAGTGAGATATAAAATTATATACTCAATGCTTTTACTGGTATAGTTCCACATTCATTGGTTTTCTTCTTTGGGCTCACAATTAGAGAAATGTGATGACTAATGTCTATTAATGAATTACATAATGGTGAAACACAGGTAAAGCCACAGAAGAGCATGCAGGATACTCCCATGATCCTTTCTAAAGGCTCTCAGGTTGAAGAAGCCTCTTATTCAGTTCCTTCCTTCCTTCCATTTTTCCTTCCTTCCTTCCTCTCTTCCTTTGTCTTTTCTTCCTCCTTCCTTCCTTTTCTCCTTCCTCTTTCCTTTGTTTTTTTTTTTTTTCGTTTTGTTGATGAATCTAAATGATTCGTTGTCCCAAAGTCCTAGTCAGAAGTTTTCATCAAGTGGTAACGTTTTATTAAATGGACAAACTAGTCTTATTTTCAGTGAAGAAGAAAGGCAGGGAGTATAGGTTGAAAATCAATAATTAGATATATTCTTTAAAATCATCAACCTTGTGTAATTAGAAGACAAATTTTAGATCATCCATTTTTCCTTTTGTGATTACATTCTTCATCCAGGGTCCCAGTTTAAGTTTATTTATTTTTGAAAGAGAGACAGAGGGTGAGTGGGGGAGGAGCAGAGAGAGAGGGAGACACAGAATCCAAAGCAGGCTCCAGGCTCTGAGCTGTCAGCACAGAGCCTGATGTGGGGCTCAAACTCATGAACCGTGAGATCATGACCTGAGCTAAAGTCGGACGCTCACCGACTGAGCCACCCAGCTGCCCCAACCAGTGTCCAAGTTTAGACACTTAGTAGATGACTTTGAGAGGACTTTGCCTTATTTATGCAGAAGTTGCTCTTGTTCTCATGTCCTTAGCCAGCTGTGCTCTTCTCTCTCTAGGAATAGCATGGCTGGAACAGACCTTTGAGATACTGCTTCTATATGCATCATGTTTTGGTTCTCCCACGGACTCGAGTGAGGTACCAGGAGATGAGAGCTGGTGATGCTTGAATGAGACTAGGGTCTGCTTGCCAGCCCTTGGCAAATGTAGCGTTTTGGGGAGTGTTCTTTGCAAACAACAGAAAGTGAGTTAACTATGGTATCCAGATAGCTTATTCGAAAACAAGAGATTTGTTGGAAGTCAATGGGTAGCTCAGAGAATCAACAGAAAACCAAACAACCAAGCCTTGGTAAAGGAGAGTAGCCAGGTGAGCTCTCAAGGTTTAGGTAGACTCAGTGGACTTGAAGGATATCTTTAGGTTAAGGCTCCAAATATCAGTTCCAGGTGTTGTTGGTCTTTGTATCTCTGCACAGGTTTTAGATTCCAGGGAGAGAGTTATTATTCCAACTCTGGTCACCATCACCCTTGAATCAGTGTGGGAAAGGAAAACTTGACACCCCCCCCCCCCCCCCCCCCCCC